TACTCAAGGCCCAGCACTCTGGATTAAAAGCAGGAGGATCTCTATGAGTTTGAGGCCAGGCCAGTCTACTAGGCCAATCAGGGCTACATACTGAGACCCTGCCCCCACCCCTCCCACCCCCGCAAAAAAAAAAAAAAACAAAAAAAACTTTCACTTAAACTATTTACTTCTAGAGTTTTCTGGTTTGTAGCCTTAATTTCAGTCTCTTAGCAGATTGGTCTATAATGTCAAGATAACTTTTCCCAGGAAAGGGAACTACCATTAAGTAATACTTTGAGTTGCCCACAGTACCTGGCATGGTACCAAGCACCAAGTATAGACTGGCTTTGTTTTTCATTAATTTTTCTCATTGGAGTATGTATTTAGGACTGAGGATGTAGCTCAGTGGTAGACTACTTGCCTAGCATGTACAAAAGTGTTCAGTCCACAGCACAACAAGAAAATAATTTATTTTGCCTTTTTCAGCACCCCCAGCTTTAGGGTAAATAAGGTATGCTTGATAAATAAAAATTCTACATTTTGGGTAGGAAAGATGGTTCAATGGCTAACGGTGCTTGCCAGGTGTGCTAGTCAGCTTTCTACTGCTGTGGTAAAACATTCTGACCAAAACCAATTTAGGGATGTGTCACCCAGAAGTTCCTCTGACCCTACAATGACAAGCCTTTGTCCCACATCCTTCCCACACTCTGCAGAGGGAATCAACATTACCTCTCCCATCTAATTTGTTGACCTTAGCTACATCAAGAGGAGGGGCTATGGATATATAAGCCAAGAAAACCACAAGGCTGTTCTCTTGCCATTTTGTGTGGCTGTTGGGAAGGCACAGGATTTATGTTTAGGTGTGAACTTTTGAGCACAGCCATCAATGAGGTAGTCACCATTTTTGGAATAGAGCACAGAGATCGTGGGCAGGATGGTGCACACCTCAAACATGGGAAAGAAAAGTCTATGTGAATCCATGTCTTTTTTGTAAGTCATCCCCTTTCCTGACATCATATAAACTATGCAAAACCCAAATAGCATGTATTATGTCTGTTTTGTCAATCCGCATCACGACTGGGAGACCCTGAATGAGGGCAGGTCTCCCAGTGGGGAGGGGAAATTTAGTGAAACAGGATGAAAGGGTTTATTTGACTTACACATCCTAATCATAGTTCATTATTGAGAGAAGCCAGGACAGGAACTCAGAGCAGAACCTGGAGGCAGGAACTGAAGTACAGATGAGAGAGGAATGCTGCTGGCTTGCTCCTCTGTTCTATGCTCAGTCTGCTTTCTTTTACAACCCAGGATCACCTACCTATGGATGGCACCACCCACAGTGGGCTGGGTCCTCCTAGATCAAATAGCAATCAAGAAAATAACACCCCCACTGGAGCGTGGTGGCACACACCTTTAATCCCAACACTTGGGAGGCAGAGACAGGCAAATCTCTGAGTTCAAGTCCAGCCTGGTCTACATAGTGAGTTTCAGGCCAGCTGGGGCTACAGGAAGACCCTGTCTCAAAAGGACCAGAAATAAAAAAAGAGCCCCTAAGACATATCCACAGGCCAATCTGATAAAGAAGGCAGTTTATTCATTGAGTGTCCCTTCTTCCCAGGTGTGTCAAGTTGAAAACTGAAGCTATCCAGCATACCAGGTAAACCTGATAACCTGAGTTTGATCCCTGAAGCCCATATGAAAGTATTGAGAAGTGACTCCACAAAGTTGTCTTCTGAATTCCACATGTGTGCTGCTACATGGGGACACCTTAGATTCACACACACACACACACACACACACACACACACACACACACACACCATACACTAGGAATAGAATAAAATTTTAAATATTTTATTTTTATTTTATGTGTATAAGTATA